AAAGCCAGGCATTTGACATTTTATTGTGGTAGTAGGAGTGTTTGGCTTTGTGCTCTGCAGACTAGCAGTGTGCCATTACTTTATAGCCCCCTGAAATAGCCCTTCTCATGCCCGTGCCTCCCTCCAGTGCTCTTGCACTGGGTTAAGGCTGAGAAGCAGTGGCCCAGTGCCAGCTCTCATTAAGCAATAAGACACTCCAGACAGTACATTTCTGGGGATTACTGTATGCCCGCCTCAAGTGCGGCACCACTCAAGAAGGGCAATCATCCTTCATAAAACGCATTCTCAGAAGTGACTTATTGCCTTTTGGCAGAGGAACTTTTATGAGCTAGAGAGAAGAGGAGAGGTATTTCCCATGCACTGGATGGCAATCTGTGTGTGGCTTTCTCATTCCCTTGAAAGGCGGAAGCAATATTCACCTGAGAACAGCAGAGCCAGCAAAGAGACATTCTATCTAGCCCAGAACCAAACACAGATGCAAGCTAGTTCAATTGTCTTCTCCCTGCAGGTCAGTACATATCATGGGTATGATTTTAATCTGAGGTAGTTTTGCCTGTTTTATGAAAGTTTCCTTCCCAGACAAATTTTAATATACCACCACGCCTTTCTTGTTTTAAGTTGAAAAAGACAAGTTACACGAGTGTCGATGAATTGAACACAGTCAAGGGCTTTAGTTTTCTATGTCTAAGAGGCATGTGGTATAGAGTATGGATGATGGAGCCAGCTTCTCCAGCCAGACTGCTGTGTTTGAATGCTAACCTTGACACTTGGTCTGTATGACCCTGAGAAAGTTACTGTAATTCTCTAGACCTCACTTTTCTCAGCTGCAAAATTTGTATAATAAGCCTACCTTGTAGGGCTGTTTTATGGATTAAATGTAATGACATATAAGCAATTAAGGCAGCGGTTCTGAACCTTCCTAATGCCTCAACCCCTTAATACAGTTCCTCATGTTGTGGTGACCCCCAACCATAAAATGATTTTCGTTGCTACTCTATAACTGTCATTTTGCTACTGTTATGAATTTTAATGTAAATATCTTTTTGTTTTCCAATGGTCTTAGGCGACCCCTGTGAAAGGGTCGTTCGACCCCCAAAGGGGACATGACCCACAGGTTGAGAACCACTGATTTATGGAGTGTCTGGCCCACAGTGATGCAAAATTGTGTCTTTTGACATTTGAAAATAATTATAATATTAAAATTTATCAGTGATCCTCAAAGGATGCTGAGCAGGAAACCAGAACCATTCTGTCTTACTTTTAACTGTGTAAATTGGGAAAAGTTGACACCTCTAAGTTTCAGCTTCTATATTTGTAAAATGGTCCAAAATGCAGCCATTTGATAACGCCAGTGATCCTTGTCTCTGGCAGTCACACCCTGTGCATTCCTCTCTCCTGGAATATGGGCTCAGATGTTACTTCTGAGACCAGGTATAATAATAAAAGACAGTGGCTTCTGTCCTGAAGCCCTTTCTAGCTCTCTTTCTTGGAGTACCAGCTTCCATGTCATAAGGACACACTCAGGAGGTTTATTGAGAGGCCCATGTGGTGATGATCCAAAACCAGCCAGCAACGACATGCATGAACCTGAAAGTAGATACCCAGCTTCTGACAAGGCTTAGATGACTAGAGGCTCAGCTGACAACTTGACTGCAACCTCAGGGGAGATGTGGAACCAGAGGTACCAACTAAGCTGCGCACCTACATCCCTCATTACAGAGACTAAGATGATAAACATTTCTTGTTTTTAGTCACTAAGTTTTGAGAAAATTTGTTATGCAGCAGATCACTAATACAGTCAATAAGCTCACATGTGTGAAAGATACTGGAAAAGCACAAAATGCTTATAAATTGGAGGCATATTGTTAGTAGGGGCCTTAAAGAAACTAAGTAATATATGCAGACTATTGAATTATATTACTTGATTGTTTGCTGCATATGTATTTGTATCATTTATTAACTAATATATACAGATATATAACTAATATATGTTACTAGGTAATGAAATATATATACATATATCACCTCCATTGTGCCTGGCACCATTATAAGACTAGTAATATAGTAGTAAAGAAAATAGACTAATATCCCTATTTTTTTGAAGCCTACATGTGGGTAAATAAGTAAAAGACAGGGTATACTGGATTTTGGTAAGTGCTTATGGTAAAACTTAAGCAAGAAAGGGGATAGGAAGTGCTTGTATACATGTTGTGTGTTTTTGTTTTTTTACAGTTTTAAAAAGGTTGGCTAGGAAAAGACGCCATGAGAAGATACTATTTAAGTCAAGATCCAAAAGGGCAGAAGAAGCAAGCCATGAGGATATTGAAGGCAGAATGTTTCAGGCACAGGCAGTTGCAGGTGCAGAGGCCCTGACGGGGGTGGGCTGTCCTGGCCCTTTAGGAACCCCAGAAGATAAAGTTAAAGGGGTGCAGGGAGTCAGTGCAAGTTCCTGTAGTCTAATAGAGAGCACAGGCTTAAGTCTGAGTAAGATGGGAAATCATGGAAGGTTCTAGCAGGTGATACCATGATCTGATTCCAGTTCTATAGGACCCTCGGCTGCTGAGTGGAGAACATGCTTCAGGGGGTGGGTGGGTGGAAACAAGACTGCCGGCAGGGAGGCCAATTATCAACATGAGTGAAATCATAATAAAATGTGATCTAATTTTATGATAATTGGGAAAAAGACCTATAATTGCCTTTCATGTATAAACATATTTATTAACTTTGTTAAATTCTCATGAGAAAGGCAATGTATTTAAGTATTAAGAGAAAAGTAAAAAGTATTATTTTACTCATTCCATTTAGTAAGAACTAGCCTTAGGAACAAAATTATGAATGTGCATCTAACAAATTCCTAAATATTCCTAATTCCTAATTCCTAAATATTCAGCTACATACATAGATATGCGTGTGTGTGTGTGTGTGTGTATGTAATACATGCAATCACACATGTATAGTTACAAAGAGTATGTGTATATATGTACAAATGTACAACACATATGCAGTGAGAGAGAGCATGCAAATATGATGAAATGTTAGCAATTGGTAAATCCAGGTAAATGGTATGGGTGTTTACTAGTCTTGCTTTTTTTTTTCTGTAAGTTTGAATATTTCAAAATAAATTGTTAGAGGAAAAATGCATCAGAATTGCATATTCATTCAAAATTAACTCTTTTGCTAAATGCATAAATATACCATGGTCAAAATAAAAAAGAAATGGGTTATGACCTTGAGTTCCTCCCTTGAGTGTTTATATGTTAATTAGACTAATTTAAATAGCTACAGTTAAAACAAATTGCTGATGCTGAGGGTTCTGGACATTTTCTAGCTGATTATATTATATCTTAATGCCCCTAAGAAACTTCATTTCCTTGTTAAAATAATTAAATACTCCCAAAAACTTGCCAAAGGGAAGTGAGTAGATTTAATGAATAGGTAGATGTGGCATTGTAGAAAAATGACTCACTTGCCTAATATATGCACTGCCTAGAGAAGAGATTCCATACATGTGTCTTAGAAAAGATACATTGATTATCCCAGAAACACATAGCCAACTAAACAATCAATGTGGACAATAATGCTTTAGAAATTAGAGGCATGAAAATTGTTACTGGGTCTGCCATCACTAGTTCTATCATAATTCTATTTTTAAAGAGAGCTCATATTGGCCAAATAACTGAGATGCATACCTTTATGTACCTATTCATGTATATTTCCGAACAGATGATTTTCATCATACATAAGAACTACAAATGCATTTCAGTATATTCTTCACCTTATTACTTTTCTGCCTCCTGCTTCTAATATTCTCTTTAACAGATTATCTTTAACAAAGGTCCCACTTTATCACTGAAATTCTAAAATTTGAATCTCCCAATTTTCCAGTCTCTTGATGAATTTACTTCTACATAACACTAACAACAGTAATGTATACTTCTGAGTAAAATAAATTATGAAGTGCAGTTTTCAAGTTATATGTTGTTCAAAATAGAAAGCAGGACTCTTGGGGCTGGTTACCTGCTTAATGTGAGGCTAGGCACCTGGAAAAGCTCAAAAATAAATTATTGAAATCCATATTAGAATTCCATTACTGTGTAACATTACCTACAATTTAGCAAACTGAAAACCACACCAGCTTATTAACTCATAGTTACGTAAGTTGGATGTATGGAGGTGTTGGATTCTTTGCTCAGGGCCTAACCAGGCCAGAATCAAGAGTTGACTGGGGTTGCAGTTTTCATCTGGGCCTCAGGGTCACTTTCTAAACTCAGGGACTATTGGAAGAATTCAGTTTCTCACCTTTGTAGGACTCAGGTCCCTGTTTTCTTGCTGTCTTTCATCTGGGACCCACTCTTAGCTCCGAGAGGCTGCCTGGGTATCCTACTAGATGTTCCCTTCATCTTCCAGCCAGCAGTGGCAGATTGGATCCGTCTTGTGCTCTGAAAGTCTGATCTCTTCTGCAACCAGCTGGAGAAAACTTGCTGCTTTTCAAAGGCTCATGTGATTAGGATAGGCCCATCCAGATAATCTCCCTGTTTTAAGGTCAGTTGACCTGGGACCTTAATTACACTCACAAAATCTCTTCACAGCAGTGCCTAGGTTATTGTTTCAATAATTGGGAGAAGGTGTGTGTACAGCAGGGCGGGCAGGATTGTGGGGGAAGGTTTTCCTTAGAATTTTATCTACTAAAGAGCTTAACGCTTAAGCTGTCTTGATTATGAACAGTGTCAACATCCTGTAAATTCCCTTTACTACATGTGCTTAATGGGAATTAATAGCTGTGCCTTTGCAGACTCATTCTGTGATTTTTGAGTCTGCTATTAAAATGTTACTTCTCTTTCAGTGGGCAAAAAAAAAATAGTTTGCTTCAAGATATCTTCTTAGTTTCAAATATACATATAACTGCAATGACTATTCAGAGGGGAAAAACTGAAATAAAATTCTGTGGAAGTTAAAATTCTCCAATTCTCACGTATTTTTCAATGCCATGCTCATTTAAATGCCAGATGGAAATGGAGCTGCTGGATGGAGTGGAGATGAACCGGCCTACACAGCTGGTGTGAGGGGTAATGGTGAGTCATTGGCATGTGCATAAGGTACGGACAAGTAGCAGTGGCATAGAAAGTTTTGCTTAACTTTCTGATGTGACAGCAGTTTTGTTTTTTGTTTGTTTGTTTTTTAAGACAAGACATTATAAAACAATGTTTAGTTCCATAAGGTTGAGCCATATTGAAGATTCGCTGACTTTTCCATCTCATGATTTGCATATAATTTTGGATTGTTCTTTCCTTTTCCTACCACTCCTATTTCCTCAACTGAGGCCTCATCACCTATTGATTGAATTACAACTATGGCCTCTTCTCACCTCCCTCCCCAAGCTTTCCTCTTTTATTTCAGCCTTCACGCTGCTAAACCAATCTTACTAAAACTTTGCTGTTATCATGTTAGTCCCTCCATATGGCAGGCAGAACAGAACAGAGGGAGATGAACTGAGAGACAGGAGACTAGACCCTGGTCCTGGCTGGGCCACTGCCATCAGGGTGACTTTGGTTGTGTCGTCTAGTCTCCATTTCCTTCCAGGCAAAATAAAACTAGAGGAGTCATAAAATCCTTTCCACCTGTAAAATCCCATCTACCTGTGATCAACAATCTAGACTTATCGATGAGTTTATACAAAATCTGAGCTGCACATGCGTGCCTCCATCCCCTGCATCCCATCCTCACCTGCGCGACCCACACATTCTCAGCCTCCCCTCCTTACAGTGATCATGAAGCCCGTGGGCAGTGAGGTTAATCCTCTGAAATATTACTCACACGTGACTAGTCGGCCACTTCACAGCTCATCTTTAGGAAGGTTTCCCAGATGTCTTCAGTTTATACACTACAGTTCACAGGTTTGGAGTTCTCACCTTTATCTCACAACTTAGCTCTTTCTTATGGGTTATCTAAATAATGGTGACAAAAATATTAGCTAAATTTTATCAAACAATTATCAAGTATCAGGCCATTCACTAAGTGCTTTGTTTTCCTTAACTCATTTATTCATTCAACAAGGTCTTTACAGATAAGAAAATTGAGGCATAGTGAAACTAGGAAACTTTCCAGAGGTTACCCAGCTTGTAGATAATGGAGCCTTTCTAGTTCCCAACCAGATCTGTCCAACTTCTAAATCACCAGACCACATCAATGATAATGATGTTGTTTTCTGTTTTGTCTTTTTTCCTCTTTTAAATTAGATTAAAATATATTGTCAGGAACTCTATCTTGCACTTTTTGGTGAATACAACACAAAGCTGGTATGTGACAGGCCTACATAATATAAGTTTGCAGTAAGATATTAGCAATTAATTTAATAGTGATTAGGCAGTATATTTTCAGGTGTGGGCAGTTTCTAATTGGGTTGTTAAAAAATGTATTAGATCCATATGTTTTGATGAGAGGAGTATGTTTATGAGGTGTTATTAACTTAAAATATGGAATATTGGACTAAAAACAATGCATATTTTCATATTTTTAAAACTTGAAGACAATCTGTTCTCATATTTGTACATTTTTAAGTTAGAAATTAGAAGAAGCCTATAAGTTAAATGTACATGTTTATAAAATTATATTTAGATTAACAGGGAAAGAAGTGAGAAGGCTATACACTAAATTTTTAATATTAGGTGCTTTTGATAGATGAAATGAGAGGGAAGGAAGAAGCAGCTTAACTTTTCTTTATTCCTCTCTGTTGGCTGAATTGACATGCGGGACATGTAAGATTTTTAGAATTTAAGAACAAAGTAAAAAAAAATAAAAATTGAAACTTGGACCTTAAACTATTTTTTAGTTTCATTTGGGAGTTTTCATAGTACCTTTTCCTGAAAATATTTCTTTTCATTTTATGTTTATCATGTACTTCACTGATTTTTAGCAAGTTGAATGTATCTTTTTCTTAATATTTATTATGAGAAGAATATTATATTGCTAGAAATAGGAAAATGAAATTCTTTAGTATAGCTTGTCTGAACTTCATAATAACTGTAAGGTTGACATTCAGGACTGTAAACTCTGTTTCCAAATTCAGTCAAACATCCTTTTATTAGAAGTGTCTGCTACTGAGATTGTTGTTGATTTATTCTTCACATGAAAGATTTGATATTGATCTGTTAATTAATTCAAAAGGCTAGTCATATGAAAATATTTCTAGATCCTTTTACCTACCTTTTTTTTCACTAACAAAGAATATGAGAAAACCAATATTTGAAGACATGAACTAAAATTTTGAGATGCAATATTCTCAAACATTGGCTGTGAAATCACCATAATTAGCGTGACCCTTGGAGAATGTCATTGGATATTTGATGAAACAGGGCATGAACTCTGTACCGCCATCTGGGGCAGGGGGTGTGGGGGGAGGCTGTAATATACTACCCAAAATGATGCCTGGGAATTTTAAACTACCAGATAGTTCTTATCTAAGAAACTCAGGGAGAAAGGCATTTGTCCACTCTAATGACTTCTGTTAGCAGATTTATGCCACTTGGATCAATATGTTTCCACCTTCCTGCTCCCTAAACTCTACTCTTTATTAAAAAAAATAAATAAATAAGAAAAGGAAAAAGGAAGATGTGCTTGATCCCAATTTTCATAACTGAAAAAATAGAAAAACAACATACAATAATTTTTTTGAAAACCCTCTGGTTCATATTCTTTGCTACAATATTTTTAAACAAGCCTAGAGGTATAAAGATGTAAACACACAAAAAAAACTATTGACTTTCTTTGCAGGGCTAATCATGCATTTTAAGAAAACAAGTATAATTAAATTGAAATAAGAAGCCAAAGAATAAAATACTTTATTAAAAACATTTCAATCAGAAGTCATTTTATCCTCATAAATGGCTTTTCTAAATGATCGTCGTTTTAGTAATTATAAGACCATTATCCTTTCTTTTGCATCAGTCTTGACTAACGATCAATGAAAAGAATAAATGTCTCTTTTATAAAGATAAATACTGTTGGAGGAAGGATGATTTTTAAAAATTGCCTATTGTAACCAAGGGTTTGCTCTTTGATTAAAAGTGTCTCTAAAACAAATAACCTGCATGCGTATATGTGTGTGTAACTAATGCAATTAATCTTCATGTTAGATTAACTTGATAAAATATTGACCTAATTTGGTATTAAAAGATTACAAGTAACATTTTGCGCTGAAGGCTGCAACATGCCTCATGTCAACGCAGTAATGACAGAATTAACCTCCCAAGCTCTCTTCAGTGGGGAATTCTGAACTGCCACTTGAGCAGTGTTTAGATGACCTACAATGACTGGTGCACAAAAAGCCCAACGATGCTCTTTTCTCAGCCAGCTGAACTGCCTCCGTGGTTAAGAACCGTGAAGGAAAAATGTATTCAAAAGACATTCTAAAAAAGTACAGCTTCTGCTTGTCAAATAAATGTTTCGATTTACTAGGAAAACAAGTTGTCTGAAAGTACTTAAAACATTTTTATTTTATGTACACAAATGTCATTTATAAATATTGTATAATTGTGAGACATTTTGCTTTAAAATGTAAAGATTTGAAGATAGGAAAAGTTTCCCTTGTTGCTTAAATTTCTTTCTCTGAGTTTGGTTATAGTTTTGTGACAGTTAACTAAGAATTCTTACTGTCTGGTTAGTGGATAGAAATAATGGTGTCTGACTCCTTTTCTTGATTGGGCTAACTGCATGATGCATAAAATTCCAGGCTATAGTTAATCTTCAATTATCCCTGGCAATTGGAGTGAGGTTGCATAACAAATGAAATACATAGATTCTTAAAAGGAAAATTTTAAAATAAAAAAAAGCCATTGGGAGAGAGAAAGAAAAGCAATGTTTGTATAACCTGTAATTGTTGGGTAGAGTAGAATGAAAACTGGTTAATGAGCCTTACATTTGTGAATTGATCATATCTTCCTTTAACAGGGTTCTTAATTATCTGAATCCTGATTTTCCTTATCTGTATACATACACAAAATATTCACATAGAAGACAGATAGGACAAACCACATCGTATCCATTTATAAGTTAGTAAAAACTCCATATATGTGAGTGTGTGAAAGAATATTATGCATATGTCACGTTGGGCCAGCTTTATGACGAGGCATAATATCGATGTTCAGAAGGGGCTTTGGAGGTTGCAGGTTAAGACTTTGTGATATCAACTGTGAACCATTCTCAAATTTTTCTACCGTTAGAGCGCCTTTCTGGGTTTCAGCAATCAAAACTCTTCATGTGGAGCACAAATACACTGTAATTTTTCCCTAATTCTGTAACACACAGACTGGAGTCTTCTTGTAGGAGTGACTTCCACAGGAGAATTTTCACTCATTTAACCAAGCTAAGAAAATCATTGTCAACATTTCTTAAAAAAAATGTACATTAAAAAAAATGTTTCCTAATATACTTGATACATTTTCTATGGAAAGCAATATGTTAATTTGGAATATGAGAAACAATAAAATTTATGAGCAAATCACATGCTCATTCACTGCTTTTTCCTAAAAGTGGAAAATTCCTATCATCAATTAAGTTTATATACATTAGGCAAAAGATAAAACGGCTTATGATGGTAGTTCAATATATATATGTATACATACCTAAAAATACTTCAGAAATATTTATTACCAGTGGTCTGATTCACTACGGATAGAGAAGGGCTGCAGAGACTGCTCTGTCAACAATTTCTTGCCTGCTATTCTTTCTTCTTCATTACTCATTTCCTCTCCTTGTTCAGTGGTGTTTTTATTCATGAGTAACTCAAAACCTTTGTAGTTTTCATGGCCCTGCCATTTTATCTCTGCAAATATTTAGCACATTGAACCAATCTTCATTGTTTTTCATAAATAGAAACTCAGAATGAAAAGAAAAAATAACAGAAGAAATTGTTATTTTGTCCGAGATTCCATTAGTTCAATCCATTGAATGTAGCATATATGGCAGCTTATACTTCAGATGTTTTTGTAGATAAAAAGACTGTTAGCTACTTTTGCCTTTCAGCAGGTCAAAAAACAAATTAGTGGGTAAAAAAGATTGTAATCTTTCTGTCAATGCATGTAATTGTCTCTACAAAATGATTAGTGCTTATAGTAAAAAAAAAATAGCAGCAAGCACAAAGTTGTAATTTGTACTTGTACAGAATTCCACTTTTGTGCAAAGCATAAAATTACTAGTGTGCCAAAGAACAGAAAATTTCAGTTTTTCCTGACAGGGCTTGTTTCTCATACACTATTAACATTAGTGAATTTAGCAGAATTTATTGGATAAGTGTTCTAAACATTTGTACTAGTTATACACAATAAAGATCAACAACTGTGATAAAAGCAAATATACTTTTTTTTCTGTCCATATCTCCTTGACCTGTTTATGAATTTGAGATTCTAGCCTTGTACCTCCTTCATAAAACTCTTTTCCTTCAGTTTTCTGGTGAGTTATTTTTCCAGTTTTCATATTTTGTTGACTCTTTCTACTTTCTTCCCATTCCTGGATCCTGTTTTGTTAACATTCCCTTACTTATTCTGTTTTAAGTCCATTTGCATCTCTCCCTTGGCGAGCTCATTCATTCTCTTGACTCCACCTTCCAAATTTAGGCCAGCAGAATCAATAATTAACCTTGTTTTCCTCCCAACATTCCATTTCTGCATTTCAACTGCTTGCAGACATTTCTGCTGGGCTCAGAAAAACTGTTGACTAGGGACAGAGCACAGGCACAGAAAAACATCTCCCTGTTTCCAGGGCAATGTGTACCTGTGAGAAGACAGAAGAGTGGGGATACCTGATAGCTAATGGGATTCTTCGTTTTTAATAGGGCAGCACACCAGCCAATCACATTTTTGTGCTTACTGTTATCCTCAACAATCAAAACCAGAGTTCACACCTTTTGGCTAGACATCCCCTTGTCCAAGAAATTTTTATTCCTCATCATAGAGATGAGGTCAATCATAAGGAATTCATAGAGGAGGAAATGGCCTTATGGACATATAATTTTTTCTGTTATGGATGTTTAAATTGAGAATGTTTTCAAAATCAAAGTGATTACATGTTGAAATGCTTGATAAGATATATGCTAAGGGTAAATAACACAAAGTATTAGCAAATAAATGTCCTGTGCATATAAGTGAAAGGTAAATAACAGAGACTGTGTTTTGCTTGGCTTTTTGTTCTCAGCTCTTGGTCCTGTGCCTGCTCCAGCAGTTGGGTGTTTAGTAAAGGCCTAATGGATTGGGTGTAGTTGAATTGAAAGGGCTTAGTGAACTTCATCTTCTGTTACCTTCCAGATGTAATTTTAGGCATCTTTATATGATTCTCTATAAAGCACTCCATAATGAATGGACAAATAAAATAATTTTAAATGTGATGGTAGGAATTTTCCACTTTCGGAAGAAGCAATAAAGAATGAGTGCTGGATTTAGCACATGTAACTTATTGTTTGCCATATGCAAACAACTTCAATATTTTAGCAGTTTACCTAAGTGAAAATCAAGATCATTTATAAGTATATAATATCTAATCTACTTGAGAGTATATGTGTATCCAAAAGAATTAAAAGCAGGGTTCAAACAGATATTTACACACCACTGTTCACAGCAGCATTATTCACAATAGTCAAAAAGTGAATCAAGCTAATTCCCTATCAAACAGAAACAAAATGTAGTATGTACATACAATGAAATATAATTCAGCTTTAAAAAGAATGAAGTACTGACACATGCTACAACATGAATTGACATTGAAAAAACATTATGCTTAGTGAATTGTCAGACACAAAGACAAATATTGTATGATTCCATTTATATGAGATACCTAGATTAGTCAAATTCATAGGGGTAGAAAGAGTGATTACCAAGGGGTGGGGGAAGGTGGGAGATGGTGAATTATTATTTAATGGAGACAACATTTCAGTTTGGAATGATGAGAATGTTCTGGAGATGGATAATTGTGATGGTTGACAACAATGTGAATGTACTTAATGCCACTAAGTTGTATACTTAAAATGTTTTAAATGGCAAAGTTTATGTTGTAAAAATATTTTTAAAAATATAACAAAAATCACACAAGCAGCTATCTGTTATGTGTCTGCACGTGACTCTCAAGTTATGTCTCCAGGTCTAAATTATTATTTGTCAATTATTTCTTTGTGGTCTATCTTCAGGAAATGTAAGCTCTAAAACCTCCATGTAGGAAGAAGTAAGAACAAAAGGAAAACAAAGTTATGGGTAATAAATATTAAGGGTAGCAGTATAGTAATTTAAGTTCAGTATGTTTTTATATATATTGTCTTTGTGGAACACTGAGTTAGGTGTTTTTATTTATTCATTCATTCATATCAACGTGCCAGTTCTCTTATAGGTTCTGAAAGTCCAGCAGTAAATAAGAAAAATAAGAGCTCTAGCCGTATGGATCATTTCAGGTACTACTAATTGCTATGAAGAAAGGTAAAGCAAGTGAAGGTGATGGTGTTTGTGTGTGTGAATGGGTGTGTGCATGCACACACATCTTGTAGTCTTGTTAAGATGAGATGGTAATATAATAGAAAGAGGTGGAAAAAGAGAATCATGATTGTGTAACTTATCTCTTGTACTATATATTGCTACTAAAAATTCTAACTATGATGGTGATTATTCTTAAAATCCAGCCAGGACTACATTATTAAGGGGAAATACAAAGAGAGAGGGGGGGTGTCTTTACTTGGGTCTTTGAAAATATGGTTTTGATCGTGTGCCTTTGAAAGAGTGATAAAACTTACACATCAATTTATGTATAAGCATTTCATTATTTGAGCTTCCCACACCTGTTACTGCGTTGGTCTGCCAAGTCCCTTTTAGGAATACTGGCAAGAGGGAAAATAATGTTTCCTCACAGTGTGTATGTATGTTTTCCTAAGTGAGCCCTTTTTTATGATTCACTTCCTGAGATATTTATTGCCATTTGTTATATGTTAGAGCCCGAGATTATTGTGATTAGAGCACATTCCTTTTTTTAAAAAAACTTTGTATACCTCCCAACACTTTCTTCAGTGTCTAAAATATAGTGTTGCCTCAGTAAATATTTCTCAAATGGAACTGAATCCATGATATGAAGCTTTGATTTTACCTGGTGGGGATGGTGAGAATTTCATGATGGTGTTTTTATTGTTAAGGAATCTTACTCTTTTTTTCCTTTGGAATTATTATAATTATACAAGGTAATACTTTCAGGATGTGCCAGCCTATAGACATTTATAATAGAAGTTATCAGAAGTGTCCCCTGGAGAGCCTGCTAACTTCCTGCTCACTTACCATTGTCTCCTTTGCTTGTGAGTGCTGGAAGTGCCACGCTCTCAGGACTTCTGCAGACTCACTGTATTCTGCCTTGATGGCATCATGAACTTTTTTTCAAAGGTGAGTGCAAGGGGTTAGATGTTGGGTGTTCACATTTTTATTTCTTGTGTTTTGGGAGAAGTTCCAAGGAAGCACTGAAAACAACTCTGGTCAAAGAACAAATCACTTTACTTCAAGCACGTGTCTTGATGGTGACTTTCTCATGTAGTTATGACCCCTTAAAGGTTTTTTCAGGGACTGAATAGTTTTATTGAGAGAATTGGACAGAAAGTGATTTTAAGATCCCTCAGATTCTAACATGCAATTGTTTCAAAATCTCTATTGCAAAACTTTTAGAAGGTATATCTAGATGCACTCCTCAGACTTTGTATTTTATAGCTCTTTTTAAAGTTTAAAACTTTTTCCTCTAATACCGCCAATTAGAACAAAAAACACACTTGCCTATTTCTTGAATGCCAGCATTCCCAGTATTGTATTCTTCGCCTTCCTAGCTTCTCACATACTACCTAAATTTAACAGATCCTACTATTTGTGCTAACGGTGCCCATTTTCTTGATCCCTGTGGCATTGCCCAGTCCTTGGGTCCCTCTTCTTGTCTATTTCCCCCAGCTGGTTTTCTGAATTACTCTGAATTACTATTTTATCAATTTGCTTGATTCTTGTGTGTGTTTATTTATCTACTACTTGCAAAATCCTAATCCTGGATTGTGGCCATAATCTACTTTCTCTGCTCCCATATCCAGGCAGGTGAACCTACCAAGAATAATCACATAAACGTGGATATCAACCATGACAAAAATATGGTCCCCAATTTAACCAGTTGTTGTAACATGCCCGCAGTGTTTAACATCTTTTCCATCTCAATCTTTTCAATGAATGATTTAAACATTTGTTATATATGTCACATTACCTGATCAACCTCTTCTTCCTGTCAGCTAGTGACTTTGATTTATTGAGAAAACTGTGCCTGCCATCACAAGTGTTTTGTAAACTCTCATTAAAACATGTTCTCCCACCTGTAGGCTATCTATATCTAGACCAGTCTTAAAAGTATTTTCCCTCAAGTCATAAAATGTATCCATCCACCTTACCCTTTGATGCTATAATCTCCCCATTTTGCTGAACTTGACTCCACTTTTCAGGGCTCTACCCCCATCTTCTACTCACCCTTTCTAGTGGTTCCTTCTCATAAGCATATAAGGATGCTTAAATCTCTCTTATTCTAATTAAATGTCCCTTAACTCTGGGGTCTCTCTCGTTATTAATTTTTTCTCCTCATTTTCTCCTCCAAACTTTACAAAAGCGTAATCTTCACTTTCTAACTTTATATATTTTAATTTTCCAAACCCAAAATCATTTTCTATCCTTGTGTTACTAGATTGGACACTGGACATAAAAAAGACATTATGTAACTCTTGAATTGCTTTCACTTTTAGCGAGATTTTATGCTAGAAAATTCCCAACAATGTAAATATATCTACAATTTGACGTTTTGACTTAGGTTTGCAAAGACACAAAAAATAAGGTCATCTACAACAAAACTACAAAACTAAAAATCAGTCCAAGAAAATCACTGTAACATAGATTCTGTACAATTTCAGGAGAAGCTATTGCCATTTTTGAAAAAAAGAGTAATGAAGTAATGTAATCCCTTCACTCTGTTAGGAAACAGTGATCTTGTTTAAGGAGTTCAGAGACTCTTTATGTGCATCATGGCTTTGGCTTCTCTTCCCACCCCTTCATCTTTTTTATTGAATGCTTATAATTTACCCAAGTCTATATCATATATGGATAATTATAGTCATGGATAAGACAACTCTTTGCCCTAAAATATTTGGTAGTATTCTTACCTGTGAGAAAATGAGAAAGGCTAGTGACATGGCCAAAATTCTGTACGGTAGGTGGCTTAATAGGAAAGACTTCGAATTATCACCCATATAATATCTGTAAAACCTCTCTTTCCCCTGCTACTATTTTAACATATTTAAAATTGTAACTATTTGAAGTTTTTATATAACTCCAAACCATGGCCCATTTGTTTATTTTTACACTGTCTCTTCTATGTAAGTAACCTGAGTTGCAGTTACAAAGTTCTCTTGTTGTATAAACATCCTTTGAGGGTGATGTTCCCATTAGCTGCTTTTTTAATTTAAAAATGTTTTCTAAGTAGTTATGTTATTCATAGAGTTATTTTCATTACTATTTTACTATTTAAAATTAGTAAAAGAAAATTACTTTAGCTTCATTATTGCTTATTTTTCTTCAGAAACAAGGAAAAATCAAAGTCTCTACTTTCACAACTAAATTCATGGCTGACATGCTTGCCCTGAGATTAAAAAAATAAATAAGTCTAGCACTATGGAACTTTCTCCCCAGGTGCTGTGGCACAGCGGCCGATTGCTCCATGACTTAAAGGTGTGGGAAAGATTGATGTCTGCGGCCCTGGGGAAGCAGCGTGCACATGCTGCCAAGGGCAGTTTTCTCTGTTAAACCAGTGCCCAAATAAATATTATCATTGCCTTTATATATTACAGTGTGAAAATAATTAGGAAGCACCTCATTACGGTAAAGCAGGACTTACCTTGAGGACAACTAAGGAAAAGAAAATCCTGATATTTCTTTATGCAGCTATTTATACTACTACAGAATAATGAAATAAAAAAGGTTATTTTTGATTAGAAATCAAGAGATCAACATTGTTTTTAACATTTATTAACTGGTAATAATATATTGTATACAGCTGGTCTATGGTTGAACTGGATTATAAGTAAACACAGGCTTGAATGTGTATTAATACACATAGACTGGCTTAATAAATTTTAGTTTTAAAAAGTCACATTGCTTCAGGCCAATGAAGAGGTTTTTTATAAATTATAATGTAAAATAACCAGTTTGAGTCTATGTTTTCAATCATTATTATTCTTTTATGCTTCATGTATATTAACATTATCCAATAGAGCAATATTATGAAAAATGAAATTATTAATGGGTATTTTTTGCTTCTAGCAGATCAAAGTGAATTCACTATTTTTTTGCATCGAATATGTTTTTATTGATATATTTATGTGTTCATTAAATATTTATTGTTTGCCATTATGGGCCAGATGCAGTGAGATGTCAGAAAAGTGGAAACTCAAGTTGCAATTCTTTTCAAGCTAAAAATATTAATTTGGGAGAGTGAATTTCTTTATTTTTTGTAATGATAGACATAAAAATATCCTGCCTGAATTTTTCCTTAGGAATTGGGACTTAATTGATACTCCTTCCAGTGGAGAAGAAACCAAAGTTTTCTGTTTAGAAGAGAGAATTTGCTACTGAAATTATAGAAGAAAGCATAATTAAGGATCCTGTTATACCTGTTAAGTTTATGAATTTTAGCCTTTGAGCCCATGGAACTCCATTTTTGAAATTATTGTGAAGCCACAATAATAATTCAAGTATAAGGCAAGATATCTGAATATTCTAATTTCTGATATTTTACAAACATTTAAAAATATTTCTTAGTTTCAAGTAAGTCTAAACAGAGAGCTTTTTTCTGATAAGGTAATTTTACTTTAAGAAATGCTAAAGTAGATTATGAAACTTGTAAGAAACAAACTAAATTATTTTAGAATGTTAGATTTGTTAGTGAAGGGAAATTGTGTCACCACAATTATTTCACAACTGTCCTTTAAGAATTTTAGTATCGCCTTTATTGGAAAAACTGTAAACTCCTTGTATAGAGATGTAAATTTGTTTTAATTTTTAAGTACTTAAGTATTCATGTCTACTATCTCAGGTAGTTCTGAACTGATACTTGCCTTTTTGTAAAAATAAACAAACCCATATCGCATTTTACCATAATAAAGATATTAATACTATCATGATTATTTACTTTTTGTTTTGGCTTTAAATTTCATTAAGTAATACCATTGTCTTAAAAATGTATTGCAGAGGGAAGAAAGCAAATACATGTCATTTAGCGGTCTCATCATGTCAAAGTTTGCTTTCATCCTGGGGGTGGGGTTGGGGAGGGCGTGTGGGAGACAAAATCTTGGTAGATAAAGTCTCTGTCTTCCTTAGAGGTGGGGTTATTATTTTATGAATCCAATTTTCTATCTATCTTGCCATCTGTCACTAGAAAGAAGAGATATAGGACAGTGGCAAACTCATGTTAAAAAGTCTGTCTTGGGATAACAAAGAGAAAAGTTAATGGACGTGGATTTACAAATTATTAATGATTTTTTCTTGTCATTTCTTGAAAAATGAAAGCTATGCACGCTGCCTCTCTCCCCAAACAGATTGCATTTTATTCCTTTGCAGTTTGTCCATCAGCCTTCACTCTGACAACATAATCCAGAACTAATCCAGAGCATTCCGTTTTCCTTGTTGGCTCTCGGGCAGGCTGCTTAGACAAATCCTGCTACCTGTCAGGCCTCCTGTGGGTGCGGAACCGGCTGCCAGGTTAACCTCTGGGGAAGCAGGAAGACCTGCTGATTTAACCCCAACTTCCCTTCCTGTAATCCAGAGTAAATAGGGAAGATGTGAACAGGCTAACTGTTTTAATCAGGCTTGGGTCCCTTAAAATCTGTTTCATACACAGCTTTAAGAACTCAGGTTATAAACATCCCTATGTAAAATCACATGGCAGTTCCTCCAAACTGTGAGCCCTAAAGAAGCAGATGGATCTGATACACTGAAAGGTATTAATCTTCTCAAGTGGTCTGTGAAAATATACACACCACTTCCCTGAGCCACATCACTGCTAATAAATACTCCCTAATTGTCACGATGAGGCCAAAACTTATTTAGAGGCAAAAAAAAATATGTGAGGTGGGTGGGGTGGGGGGAACCCAATATAGTTATTATAAAGACTCACACTTTGCAAATTTCCAATATGCTTGCTCTAGTTTTCCTGCTCTTTATCCCCTGCCTCTCCCAATGCATGTATATGCACACACGTTAATT